GTAGGGAATCTGAGACAACAGATTGCAACCAGCAGTACTGTAATCCATTTATTTTGTTTTAACATGCAGAACTAAGAAAGTTATTACTATATTTTCTCTTCCATCTCTGTGCTAAAATATGCTACTGACCAGCCTTTAGTGTGTGATTGATCTGTATTATTTTGTTTATTGATGTATGTCTTTGATTCTTTTTGCAGCCAGAGCATACAAATGTATGCTTTTGGTATATTCCGCCGAGTCTCAGGGGCATGCCAGATTGCGATGAGAGAAGAGAAAAGTTGCACAGGGTATGTGGGTTTTGTTAAATGCAAAAATACAGTCTACTCTTTCAACTCAAAGTACTCTGTTTATTAAAAATAATGTATCTGTGTGTTGACACATGTTCCAAATTCTGGGACAACAGTTCTCCAGTTGCTTGTTATGACCTTGATATTTGTTCACTTTTGTCTCCCATTTATACTGAGGCTGAAGTCACATTTCCCCTATAGAACCAGTTACAGAACATACTTGGTTATTCTTTGCTTTGTGTCACTTCTGTGCTCCCAAAAGTGTTACGAATCTTTAAAAAGTAGCTAGCCACAAAGACGTCCTAGTCCAGTTGGAACAGGACAGTATATCAGCAAGAGAAATGGAAAAGTGATTATTTGAAAATGCTGGGACGGGTAAAGGGCATGGAAACCTGTAGGTCCTTCTCAGGTCTTTATTTTGATTTTAAACATACTTGGCTAGTCATGCATTAATGCTTTTTAGTGAAAATGAATAGCCTTTGGAGGACTTTGGGAGAAATTTATTTGAAGAAATGATAGAGGGAAAAGTGAAGGCATCGTAGAGGCACCACCAGGAAAAGTATTGTGTTACTTAGGACTTGAGGGAAGTGAAATACATTAATTTTGTAGTAGCATTTTGGACAGACAGAAGTGGAATGAAAAACATTCAAGAGACAAAAGAATGATTTTATAGTTGTCAAAATGAATTGCGATTTTTTTTTTATGTTTGGGAAGGGAGAAGAATGGGCAAACTTGGGAGGTTTTGTAGAGGATTTTATGTCTGCATCACACTGGGGAAAGAGAACAGAAGAGAATAGAAATTCCTGGGTCTACCCAGTGACATGTTAGATAAAGAAATTGCCAAAAAAGAGAGAAAAGAGGAAAAAAGATAAGACTGGTAAGAAGGTTGAAACGTTTGACTTGACCCTGTTAAATGTTAGAGGACATTGTAAAGCATCCTACAAAACAGTAAAAGAGACAGACATCTGACCTTGGCTGGTAGAGAGTAGAGCAGGAGCCAGAAGGTCTGGATAGAAAAACTGGACTTAGTCAATACCAAATATTAAGACTTTTAGAACATTATTCCTTGTGAATTAAAGTGAGGAAGTGAGAATGTGATAAATGCACATAGATCTTGTTGAAAAATTTCCATCACTCTTGTCCCTCCCACCACCACCACCCCAGAAAATGACTTTGAGAATATATAATATTCTCATGGAAAACATCCATTACCCTCAAAAAGATGGCTCTGGAGTAGGTTTTCATAAAAAGACAGAAACCTGTCTTCATGAGAAAATCTTCAGCACAAAAAAATTGACATGTACATTTAACACATAAAATTATTACATAGTGAATACTCTAGGATGCTATTAATCTATTAATCAAAAAGATGGTTATTATTATTGTCAATTTTCCTTTAAATATCCAATCCTACATGTTTAGTTTTTCAAGCTTTTTCAGTTACAGATCTTTTTATAAAAACTAGTGCCTTTCTGATCTGTCCATTTATTTTTTCCAAATTAAGAAATGTTGTGACATACAAAGAAAGGATGAAATTTTTTAATTACTCTTATCTCTCTCTTTTTTTTTATTTTTTAAATTATAAAGGTGGCACCAAAAATCAAAGCACTGATGATGGAGTCAGGTACTACCATGGTTGGATATCAGCCTCAGGGCGATAAAGTCAACTTCTTCCGAATGGTCATCTCAAACCCAGCAGCGACTAAGTCTGACATTGACTTCCTCATTGAGGAAATAGAGAGATTGGGGCAGGAGCTGTAGTACAGTGGTTGAATTATTTATTTCTCTAATTCACTGTTTTCCAGCACTGGCTATTTTTTTAAACCAGTTCTGCAGAACACGTTTTAAGGAAATTCTCTTTGTGTAAGTTCCAATCTCCTAAGACATCCTTAAACAAAACTATAGGCTACTGAAACATATATGTATTGGTAGATCATACTACTGAGGGAAAATGTATTATCTTGAAGTTGAAATACTATTGACTCTTACGTTGGTCTTGTTTACTGTAG